AGCCATTAATTTCTTGTAATGTATTATAGAATAATAGATTGATATAGAATGTGCGGTTAAAAAGTAAAAAAACTTTATTGATTTGTGTGTAAAATATATTGTGTAAATGTGTGGTAGAGAATGATACCATAGTAAACCATTTAAAATTTTAAAAGATGACAATCGGGACTTAAAATTTATTGAGGTAGATCAATTATGACCGTCAAAATTGAATTTTCCCATCAATTTGTGACTTTTTGCTATAAAGTCAAATTTGTCCTTGATTGAATATTAATTGTGAGAAGAATAATACATTTTATGCATCATAGGTCCTGTGAATTTATTGAGAAGGGTATTTCGATCTTTGAAAAAATAGAAATCAAATTTATTAGAATTGAATTATGCTATATGTACAATTTGTTGGAAAAACTAAGTTGTGTGGCTAATTTTGGCACTAATTTTGAGCGGGACACGCTTGACTATTTTGAAAGATTGAAGTTTATTTGTGTTCTCTTCCGTGACAACATCGAAATCATATGCTTACTTGTCAAAAATGATGCTCGGGTGAATGAGAAATTGAAACTCAAAGTATACCATGTAAAAGGAGTTTGTTGGTGGGAAAACTAAAAAAGTTAAGATTTGTCCCACATAGGAAGTTGATGAAATCTAAAACCACTTTATAAAGGATTACACTTTAAATTGGTGTAATAATGTGTAGTATAGAGGCTCTCTCAACGTGCGCGCACATGGAGGGTGCAAATCTTGGACCGAAATAGGCTTCGGACCTTAAACTTGTATGCGGACGCGACCTGCGTACACGAATGTCGGACCGAAATGAGCAAAATTGGCCCCTTAGAAATGTCCACGTTTTGCTACATTTTTGTTAATTTTCAACAGATTTTTGATTTTCCAAAACTCCTGAAACTCCTATGTTAATTGTCTTTTGTTAATGGGCAGGTTATAAGAGTTATCATTTATATATGTCTCATTTTTCCACTGTCCATACACGAAAAATTCATCTGCATATTCATCTGCACACAGTTCTTGTTTCTCTACATTTTTCGTTCCTGTTCGAGTCTGGTGGTGATATATTTCAGATACAGAGTCAGTTTGTCAGAGTAGAGTTTAATGTGCTCGAATTTTACTGGTTCCTCCATTGTATCCTGGGAAGCAGACGCTCGTACTATCCTGAAGCACGTACAGTGAGAGTGCAATCTGTTTTAAGAAAACTGTGTTTGACACAGGCATCGAGTTAAAAGTGTTATACTGTTTTATTTGTTCTTACTCGATTTAGATATTGTTCTTTTTGTAATTATTTAAATTACTTTTTATTTTTTGCTGCAATCAATAAATTGTTGGATTTGTTATATGTACTGTTTATTATACGATATCCAATTTGTAAATCTGATATTCGATATTGAAACAATTATCCTACACAATTTAGTTTGACAATATTGATTGACAACACATATTCATTCATTTCAAATAAAAAATTTTAAATCAATGACCCAAATTTTGACAATACCAATATTGTCAAATTTGATTGTACAATTAGCATAATTGATTAGAGTTTGCTAAAAATATGCTAATTAGGTAGACCAACCATGGGCTTCGTAATCAATACGAACGATCAACTTTATCAAATGTCTTTAGTGATGGGTGGACGGTTGTTGAACGCAAGACTTTTACCTATCGAAAAACCATGTTAAACCATTCGTGCATGATTGGTAAAGCTTAAATTTTGTAAGTATTTAGAAGTTGTGATTTTACAAATCCGTTAATAATAAATGTGTAACAAGCTATTGATTCTATGAAATATATGTACAAAACTATGTTTGATTAATTTAAATAAATAAAAAACACTTCCCTAAATATGCATGAAGTGATCTAATTATTTTCATTCTTCGAAATTATTGAAAGTATGATTTAGACGATACATTTAGAGGAAGTTAATCAAATATAACTTCCTGTATTTTTGAAAGAAAAAACTCATTTAAAAATTAGTT